ACCTTAGTTTATTGATCAGGATGCTGTTACCCCAGGAGATGTAAACTTGTTGACAACAAAGGGTCCAAGTTTGAAATTACACAGCCGCAGAAACAGGTTGAACGCCGGCCCTGGAGAGACAGGAGGAAGTTCTTTCAAGATGAGACGGAATAACACAACAGCTCCACCTTGGAGATTTTTTTTTTTTTCCCTCTATCTGATATTTCCTCAGAAGCGACGGGCGGTGGAGAGATGGCAACGAATGCCAGCCTGTGTGTGCGTGTGTGCATGTGTGTTTGTTAACACTATCAGAAGTACTGACCCGATGGCCCCACAAAATTGTATTCATTTTTTTTTCTCAAATTTTTATTCTTTCTATTTGGTAGCGTTTCTCTTGGCTGCACCGCTTTCCAGTATGTGTATGCATGTATTAGGTTTTTTTTTGGGGTGGGGGGGGTTGTCCAATCAAATGTCAGCCTCGATGTGTCGTCATATCAATCAAATCCGGCTCGAGTATCTCAAGTGATCGTCATTCTCACTTCAAATATGGCAAATTTCAGATTGTTTATTGGGGGGGGGGGAATTGATACGATTGTTCGATTATTTTTCCATCTTATTCACCAATTTAAAATGTTGAAAACAGCTTAAGCTAAGCTAGGTTTGGTCAGAACAAAACAAAGCGAGCAAAGACAGCTGTAATCGATCTGCATACACAAATTCATACTTTTAATCATCATCATCATGTAAAGTGAGTACGATGTATTTTATTTACCGGTGCATCTTTTTGTCATGTCAGGAAATAATTATTGTGACCTGCCCCAGGTGACGTATGTAGCACACGCGTGTCAGCAACTGAATGTCCAGGTACCAAATGTAGGGGGAAAGCGTCCGGGATCGGAGGCAACTCACCCACAAGTAGGCCTGCTTGTCGACAGGCCATGATGGCTGCAAAGACGCCGGCTCGTTCCTCCGGCCGGGTGCACTGAGTCAGGAAACCGAAGATGGAGGATCCTGCTCCTGCACCGACACCTGAGAGGAAAACCGTATCCAGCTATTACACCTACCAAAGTCTTGATCGGCAGCTGCTGCATTTAGGCACGCGCGTGTTTGTGTTTGTGTGCGTGTCAAACCTGTCACAAGGCGACTGGCTACTAACAGCCACTTTGAATAGCCGATAAAATACATGAAGTTACCTGGGAAAGTAATAAAAACAACCATTAGGACCTTGCCTAGTTTTTCGAGGTATCCCTCCGAGACCTGCACACATGTTAGCACGACATAGTTCTCAGTCTTTGGACATTTTACACTAATCACTTTCAAACGTATACTAAGTATTTAGAAACATATCTCTGAATTAAATTTACAGGGTCTTTAATTTGCACTTTGTCGGAGAGAGAGATCCCAAATTCAAACATAGTACAGTTTGCAACCAGTACAATCCGCTTTGTGTTGTCACGAGAAGAGACTCGGGATGCCCTCTGAACTGAGACAACGAGTCATCAAAACGTCATGTGACGATGTTCGATGTGGATTTGCAACTCACCAGCAATCTCAAAAAGATTGGAGAAAAGAATAATGGGCTTGGTCGTTCTGCTGCGGTCTGACCAGCAGCCAAATAGCGGTCCGGTGAGAAGGCCGCTCAGACTGAAAGCAGACAGACCCAGACCCAAGAAATATGGCGGCGCCTCTAGGATCTGGAGATATCGCCATATTGTCGGCAAAATGACAGCTGAAAACACCAGAAGGGGATCAATGAATGACCACAACAACTTCTGAAATACTGCATGTCGGCAAAATCTGATGAAAAGTCCTCAATAATGGGGAGGCTGAAGCCAACATTCGGAATGCTTTGTTCCTAGCAGAAGTATGCTTAGTCTTAAAAAACAAATAAGTAAGTAGAAGTATAGATACTTGGGTTAAAAAAAAAAAAAAGGTCAAAGTATAAATACTGACTCCACTGCGTTACTTCAATTGCCAGAAAAGTCAGAGTGAAAAATCTCCATTTGTCCAGTAACAAAGTATTTGTACTCCATTACTTCCCACCACTGGTGATTTTTTTTAAACATGAGAATGTACTTACCATACTCGATGCCGCTGAGCGTAAATATTAGTCCAATGGTAATAAAAGTTTGATTCCTCTTCCGGAGATTGTCCATGCTGCGACTTTTTTTACACAACGACCTCTGCACATGTGCCGCGGGGACGCGGCGCAGTGGCAAAATCGGATAATAAGGCACACCACATTTCCAATTACGGTGCCTTAGCAGGACCATAAAGGGAATTTGTTCCACCATTTGAAAAAGTCCCTTTGGAGCATGATGAAAATAAGAGATCGCGTGTTGAAGCCCCGCGAGGGTGATGAATGAAAAGCCGGCCGGCCGCAGCACATGAAATCTGTCCGCTCTGAAATGACAGCAGTGCGGTCGCTTTACCATTCGGCATTTATGTTCAAGACGAAATTCTCTTTGAGTCACGCCATGAGCCCGGCGATCAAGGAAATGGCTCGTGTTACCAGGTGAAGTCAAGTATACAGAAGCTTTTATACATTTTTAATCGAGCTGTCTCGGGTTTCGCCAAACACATTGACTCGCTGGAAAAAAAAATCGAAGTTGCCAGCGAGGTATCTGATCCATATGTAATTTCTGATATATCTATTTCTTTCTGTTGACTGTGGGTGAAACTCTGGTTTGGAAATGATAGCACACAGCTAAGGAAGCCGACTTTTTTTTTGTTGTTCATGTAAGTTGCCCTCAACTTACATGAACATTAAATGTTCGTTGTTTTTAGTGGGAAGTTCTACTTTACGAACGGCAAAAGGAGAGATGGAATCCTTTAAATGCAGTTTTATTAAAAGGGAAAAAAGACGTCTGCACCACAGCGCGTTCGAGAACTCAACTCTCCTCCGAGCTAAAATCACTTCCTGCTTCTCTTACTTCAACAGCCAATCAGAACCTATCAACATAAAAACACGTCTAAGCAATTATTAAACAACAGAATATAATTTAGGTATCTTAACATGAAATAATATGATGCCCAAACATAAAATGATAATCATTAATAATATAACATAAGCTTACATTAACATGTCAGATCAGGGTCATCCGAGAATGCCTCCGAGTTCAATGCAGCTCCTCCGATACGCGCCGATTTGCTGACTCGCGGCCGAGTTGTCGACTGATCTGAAGAGAGCGTTGTTTATTTATTTTCTTGAAAGCTAAATTTAGAGCAGGACTTGGCTGACAAAGGCTTTCAAAGCAGTTGCACGGCGGGCATGGCCGAATCAGAGCTTCCCGGTGACTTGATCGCTCACAAGGATTGACTGCAGTGCTGCCGCTCGCTGTCAATAAAGTTCCCTTTTGTTCCCCGAGCATATGTCGGCGAAGTCGTCCTTGAGCACGACCACCTGGTCGTCTCTTTGCAACACTGTATTACAAACATTTGACCGCAGCAGTGTTTCCCGATCTGAATGGAGACAAGGTAAAGAATTTGCATTTGAAAAATCTCACACCAGAGCACCCCCAACCCCCCCCCCAAAAAAAAGAAATTGGAGGGGAAAAGTCTTTATTTCTTTATTTTACCTTGACTGTTAGGCATTAACCTCAGATGTCCAAATGTCAATTTCTTGTTTTTTTTTCACAAACCGATACCTTTAGTGTTTGGTCTGTCGCCACGCTGTTTGTTATTTTTACACAATAGTAACCGATTTAAAGTGGAAAACAGCTTGAGAGCAAATCTATCAACCGTCATTCAAGCTTGAATTATCTTGAGAAGAAATGCTGTAAAACTCTTCCACGTCCAACGCTCCGCGCTAACTGTGCGACATTGGATCGCTGTTACGCTTCAGTACAGAAGGAAGCGGTCTGACACGAAGGTCGGGTTTGGGACGATGATGGAACCATAGTCATTTTGTTGGTATCAGAAGTATTAAAGGCTTCTTCTCTGGCTGGCGGGTTGATGCGAGTACAGCTTGAATCCGCTGGTTACGACATGCTAGCATTTTCATCGAAAGCAGAGTCATGAATTAGCGCTTGAACGTTCTTTTGGCGCGGTGTTGTGTTGACGGTTGTACGCAACGATATATGACAGCAAAAAGGGATAAGACAAACGTGAACGGTGGCTGCGGCTTTTTGACCACTTTGATACGATTCAGAGTCGAACCCTTTTGCTGTGTTTCGTAGCAGCTAACAAAGGCAGGGCAGAGTTGAATAATCCTTGGCCGCGGATGCCGCTAGCTCCTTCTCTCGGGCACAGTTCAAACAGCCACTCTTACTCAATCCATCTGTCTCACTGTTTTAGTGCGCCCCGAGGCACTTGGTTGTTTCACGAAAAAGAAACGCTGGCAGAGAGAGGAGTTGGCCCTTAAAATAATTACGCCATATAACTTACTGCAGGCCGCCGGTCAGGAGCACCACCTGCTTTGTCATCTCTCTTTCATGTAGTTACCTTTTATGATCTAACCATTGTTACTTCATCCACCAACCATTGGCAGACTTATAGTCATCTAAGTCATCCATCGATTTGTTTTATTTTATTCGGGGTTGCAGCCAACTCGGCTCTCGACTCAACGGTATTCCTAGAGCACTTCAAAACAACCATCACGGTATGCAAAATGCTGCACATGGAGCAAAAATAATTCATACAACAAAATATGAATTCATAACAAAGACGGTGGAAAGCACAAAAACAGTGAAACTAGGAAGCAAGTCTCATGCCAAGTCAAAAGGCAAAGAATAAAAATGAGTTTGAAGACGACTTTTAAAGATGGTCTTGCCGAACGTTCAGTGGGCGGTCATTCCAAAGAGAGCGACCAGCAACGGAAAAGGCTCCTGTGTCCTCTGAGCCTCCGCTTAGTTCTCGGTACCTCTAATAGTGTCTGGTCTGCAGACCAGAGGCACCGGGCAGGTGCGGAGTGGCGGAGGAGCTCAGAGAGGTAAATTGGAGCGAGGCCATTTCAAGATTTGAAAACAAATAAACTTTTAAAGATGGGCTTGCCGAACGTTCAGTGGGCGGTCATTCCAAAGAGAGCGACCAGCAACGGAAAAGGCTCCTGTGTCCTCTGAGCCTCCGCTTAGTTCTCGGTACCTCTAATAGTGTCTGGTCTGCAGACCAGAGGCACCGGGCAGGTGCGGAGTGGCGGAGGAGCTCAGAGAGGTAAATTGGAGCGAGGCCATTTCAAGATTTGAAAACAAATAATAGGATCTTTAAAAGAACTATAAAATGTAGAGGGAGCCAGTGAAGGGAGTTATGTGCTCCCTCTTACGAGTACCAGTCAAGAGGTGACCAGCAGCATTTTGGACCAACTGGAGATGCTTAATGGAGGATTGGCTGACTCCAAAGTAAAGTGCATTACAGCAATCTAGCCGAGATAAGACGAAGGCATGAATTACTGTTTGAAAGTGATCTTGAAAAAGGAGAGGCTTTACCTTAGCCAGCTGTCGTAAGATGAAAGAAGCTGGAATTAACAGCAACACCAATTTGCAGATCCAATTTAAAATCACTGTCCAGTTTAAGACCCCAGTTTGAAACTGTTGGCTTAAGATAAAGAGCCAGGGGGCCCCAAGTCGGCAGGGTGGGAAGTACAAGGTCCATTGGGACCAAACACCATCACTTCCATCTTCTTTTCATTGAGAATCAGTGCCAACCAGGTCTTGATTTCCTCTACAGGATAAAAGTGGCCTCATTGAGAAAGCGTCTTTTCTGCTCAGCGGGACATCGATCTGACAGGCATTGAAAGGCAGACAACGCCCTGCACTGGATGCCAGTCGATCACCAAACAAAAAGATCAAGTTTATAGACGACATTCACATAGAATTGGGATCACCAACATATCTTTTTTAAACTGTCTTGTCTTTTCTCTCTCTGCTCACCATGCATACCACCACCCGCACGCTGCAGTTTTATTAACCGCTTCTTTCCCAAGGTTTTATTGCCGTCTGCTGCCTGTGGACATGGGAGGAAATAAATCTCCCGAATCCAATTCCCACTGGCGTCTGTCTAGCGCTGTTTCCAGGCAAAATAGGCAGTCGGCGTAAGTGGGAAACACCAGAGAGGTCGTCAGGATGTGACTGAACTGCGGGAGAGAAGACCCTTTCCACAGCATCATCGTTGCCTGAATAAGGTAACTTTTCAAGGTAGAAAGGCACAATTACTGGAGGATATTTATATGGACAGTAATGTGTTTTTTTACCGCCTTTTTTCCCCCTCCATCTTGCTACGATGACAATTTTTTTTT